TTATTGGACTTTTAAAAACATTTTTTAAACATATTACAAATGTAACGACTGCATTCAATAATGAACGAGCAACAATTAATATGTTAAGCTCAAACCATAATAGATAACCATTTTATAGATTCACGGTAATAATTAAAGCAAGCTTTTCGAAACATCGATTTTACGAAAAAGAATTTTACATTAATAAAGAATTAAATTATGCGTTATATACGCATATTTTAATATGATTTCATAGCTTAATAATGCCGCTAAATTATGCTCTTTGATCACAATTTGGAAACGAAATAAGTAAAGAGGCTTAACGAGCACAAATCGATGCTACTTCGAAAATGTATTCTTTATTATATTCTTTTATAGCTAGATAGCTAGATATTAGCATGTGAAAATGGTAGATAACGGCCAATAACAGTAAAGTTTTGTTTCTATTTTAATTTTGCTTAAAAAGCCCGAACGTCGTTTTTCCTCAATATTTTTATTGATATTAGGTATCGTATGTGTTATAGCTCTCGAGCAAGGTCTTATTAATCAGACATCACTCTGAAAGGGTTGGCGATGTCTTAGGAATCTCAGTAAAAAAAAAATATTTAATCGGACTATGTCCAACTAGCTACGCAAACTGCTGACCTATGTTCAATTTACTCACTTAGACATTTGAGCAAGCTAAACTTTTCAGAAGCCATTTGTGTTTAAAAGACGCTGTTACATTTTTCCACAATTTTTAATGTTTTTCTGGTATCATGTAGTGAATCAGGAACAATAACTATAAGATTGCGTACGAAGGCTTCCGAACCAATCCAATCAGCCTTTCGCAGTCCACTGCTGGACATAGGCCTCCCCAAGGGCATGCCACAGAGCACGATCTTCCGCTTTCATCATCCAGCCACTACCAGCGACCTTTCTCAGGTCATCGGTCCACCTGGCAGAACCAGGACTAGAATCTGAACCATTATCTATAAAAATGACAAAAAAATTATATCTGTTGTAACATGAAAAAAAAACTATTTAATAGTGCACGGAAATATAATAATCGAGCTAGTACGGACAATTTGGAATTTATGGTAGTCTTACTAGTTGATTCATTCCAACAAATTCCTCTGGTGTTAGAAATTTAATTTTTATAGAGCAAATCCCTGCACTTGAGATTGAACATTAAAATTTGTAGAAAAAGTACGAAGTTCGTCGGTGTGGCAATCAACCGTTTAGCTCAGTGGCTAGAGCGTCAGGCCGCGAATGCTGAAGACGTGGGTTCGATTCCCACAGCAGCGACAATCTTTTCGTACTTTTTCTACAAATTTTAATCCTCTGGTGTTACATAAAGGATTACTCGTATCCGTAATGCATGATGATATTTCAGGTTACACAACTAGGGCTTGAAAACATCTATGACACTATATTAAAAAACGTATAAGAAGTTAAAAGTGCACTTATCCGATTACGATTACTTTTAACTAAGCATACGTACAATGGTTGTGGGTTGTTAAAATATATCAAAAGTCTAACTTTCCCTCGGCCAAGTAAAAAATATGATATGTTCGAGTGTAACCAATTCTCAAAATATGTTGATGTTATCGACACTATAATGTAATACACTGATTCGCCAAAAAAGGAAGTGAACATTGTCTTAGTGGTGTTCTTATTTTTATTAACTTTCTGTAAAAAAATTGCTGACGAGTGATTTTTAGTCAACTTTAATCAGGTGCTGTACAAATAAATATAATGAATGTATAAACCAGATGTATCAGAAATGATCACATTCTGGTTAAAATTCCCCAAAGCAAGAAAATACAAAGTCATGGGAAACGTTATTACCGAACAAACCGCTGGGAAATACGTCAAGTCATTGAGGAAAATTTTTTAAGTTACAGTTTTTAATTGAGAAAAGTTAGGTATCGAGTAATGTGTTTTAACTTTTGACCGAGTTTACTTACAAAAAACTGACATCAGATCTATTTTGTACAGTATTTAATACTCTAAAAAACATGAGAAGAACTTTCCTAGACGTCGTATTGTTCGTTAGTTATAAAGATCAATACAAAACATTTTTTCAGTGTACACTTATTCCAAATTGCATTGTAGTAAAATATTTTAATATATTTGAAATATTTTTCTATATTTGCAGATGGGCGATTATCCCTACTCAAGATGCAATGAAATTTTTATTGGACGCATAGTAACCTATACACACATATCTAAAATGTTATAAATAATTTACTTTCAAAGTTCAAACATTTTTGTATTAAAAATATCGATTAATAATTTTTTGGTAAACTATGCTTTGTATGTTTTATATCTCAACATATATTAAAATTGGAACGATTATGTAGGTTATATTTATAATTTCTAGTACAAAGATGAAGAGACAAATACAAAGCCTCAATGTTAGTCATATAGCGCGACACATTATAGCTATGGATGTATAGTGACCTACATTAATTGCTTTCAGTCCATCGCACGGCTCTACACTTCAGTTAGAAGCAGGCGAGCGTTGGTTACACTCGTCTGCTTCTAACACAATCAATAACTGATAGCTTTAAAGGTAAGAATTATCTTATATTTTGCCTAATTTAGTAATTCTTTTAAATTGAGTGTATATAATTTTTATACTTTCAGTTATTTCCTCTACGCTGTGTAATTTAATGTTATTTCTATGTGATTTAGTATAAATTGTTCCTGGACGCAATAATGACATACATTGTTTAGTTATAATGACTAACAAAGAGACATTATATTACATTAATTACAATAAATTTTGCTTGATCTAATAATGAATAAATAAAAAGTATAAGCAAAACATAGCTTTTACAGAGTTGCCCCTATGCTCAGCTAAGGCGATCTTAAGAAAGAGGGGTCTCCAAAAAACCGTACTTCGGATTGGTAGGCTTCAAATATCTTCGAAATTAATGAATAAATAATTGAGTTTAATGTATGAGTTTCCTTACGATGTTTTTCTTTACCAGTTAATAAATATATAGTAAATAAGCACTTAGTGTTGGAACTTAAAACTTTGCTCATGCTGACAATTTCATTGGAATTTGAGCTCAGGTTGCTCGAATAGAGAATCCACTCGAATTTCCACTAAGGGAAATAATAAAATACACATTTATACACTAAATTAAGTTATAAAATATACAATAAGGTAAAGTCAGTTCACAAAAAATCTAGCATCCTATAATTAGAATTTATATTGGATACGCTTTTTCTGGAGAGAAAAAAACTTGCAGTTGAAGTGTCACGATAAATAATTAACGTTTTCTTTAGTGAGCTTCATTTTAAAACAAAGACCATATTGTATAATACCCGTGAACTGGAAGAGTCGGAGGAATAAAATGTGGGAGAAATAATAGAAAAATAAAAGGTAAAGACCAAAGACTTTTTAGAGACGAAATTTGGGTCAATTTCTGTTATCATATAACTATTATAAAACTCTGCATAAGTTTACTTATTTATTGAGAAAGGGTATCGGATATCACGCTTCGCTATAACTAACCTTTAATAAAAAATATACATATAAAATTAGGACGGCAAATGGTAACCTGTACGATGAAAGTCAATACCGTCTACATATATTTACTGCAATGTAATAAAATGGGAAGCTATTTATTTTTTTTTAGGAATTTTCATAGGCACATGTACAGAAATTTTCAGCGCTGCGGAATTCGAACCTGGGTATTCTGGGTAACGCGCCCAAACACTTCACCAATTTAACTGAGTGGTCGATGACGTCACGTAGCGTCGTCATCTCGACATCTTTACAATTTATTTATTGCATTTTAGATGCTTCGCACCATCCATCAACTTACCATATTTCACAGCATGAAACGCAATACAAAAAATAGTTAACGTTGAATATTTGTAGCGAGATATTACGACGCCTTTGCTCAAAATTTATGGTTTATTTAATGTTTTGTAATGGTACTTTCCGCAATCAGAATGAAATTTAAATATAAATATTTTTAGACAAATAGACAAAAACACTCGACGATACGAGATTTGAAGGTGCATCTTCTGGGTTGCAACTAAGCAGTCAATGACTTCACAATGCGAATATTCCGACATCTATACAATTTCATCATTGCATTTTTGCGATTCGTTGCGCTATCTAGTTCGCACACTACAAATTGCTCCTAAAACTTATGATCAATTTTGTTTCAATTTCAAACATTATCCATTAACTTCTTTAATAGCCTTAATCATGGTTATGTTTTTTCCTTTATCAACAAAGTTTCACATTTTTAATGTTTTATTTTTTATGATATTTTAACTCGGAACAAATTTCAAAGACCAAATCCACTCATATCTTTTTCCTTTGAGATAAGCATAGCGAAGGCGTATTTATTGTGCAAATACAATAATACATTGCCTTACCCGAATACAGGATTATTACATACGATTTGAAATCTTTACTTACTTGTATACGCTAAATACACGTTGAAGGTAAATATCATTATGAAAATATAATAATTTTCTTATAGTTCATTGTTTAGGCTTTGAGGAAAGATATTGCTCTTTCATACGTTACCATAGCTTTAACTGGTAACAAAAAGAAGCCATTTTCTTTAAAATTATACTTGATTTTTTTTTTCTGTCAGAAGCGAGCTGGCCGTTCACCTAATATTAAGTGATAACCGCCTCCCATGGACATTGGAAACACCCGTAGGGTTGTTGTAGTTGTCACCTTATAACAAATTGGGCCCAGCCTACTTCACTAACCAGACGAAACGCAAATGAAATGAAATGAAATGAAATGAAATGAAATTATTTATTTCAGACTGCACATAATAAATCATAATACAAGTCCATAGTGTTAGTTAGAAACTTAAAAACTATGTTAGTAAAATTTAAAATATTTATTATTATGTTGGACATGTATGAAAGCCCAATGTTTTATTATTGGGCTGTCCACTCGATCAGACACAACCTTCAGGAGTGTGTTGGAACTGCTCCTCACCCGCGTCCATAAGGAGGCAGCTCTTTTTCGAAGCACTGCCTCAAAGCTATCAGTGCTGTAATCGGTAAACATGCCTGAAGCACTACAACGCCAATGCAGCCCCAACAAACTCCTGAAGCTGTTGTTGTACTGGACACGCAGAGCATTGTATGCTTTTTTGGTGTAATTGCTCCACAGGTTGCACGTGTACAATGTTTGGCAATAACTTTTAAAAAGTGTTACCTTAACTTCGCGCGAGCAACGTGCGAACCTGCGGGATAGCATATTACTCCTTACCGACAATGCTCTGCGTTCCCTGTCAATGTCCATGTCATCGCACAAATTCTCGGTGACCCAGTGACCCAGATACTTAAACTTAGAAACTTGCTGTAAGACAGTTCCATTAAGTGTAATGGGAGGAACACGATAAGTTTTAGTACCTGCCTTAAAGACCAGCAGCTCGCTTTTTTTCACGTTGTATCTGAGTCCATGGGTCATGGCATACTTTTCACAGATGCTTAACAGGGTTCTCACCGAGTTGACCGAAGGGCCCAGCAGTACCATGTCGTCCGCGTAGCTAATGTTATTAATAAAACAGCCATCTACCGAACAACCGACACCAGCACTGCTGAGCTCCCCAATCAGTCCGTTGACATACACGTTAAATAAAGTAGGTGAGGTTAATCCCCCCTGCCTTACTCCACACATCATTTTATATTCTTCTGAATATTCCCCTGCCCATCTAACAACGTTACGTTGGTTGTCATACCAAAATTTAAAGATATTAATAATTTCCATAGGCAACGTACTTTGCATTTTTAATTTGTTCCATAAAACATTATATATAACCATATCAAATGCCTGAGAAAGATCTAGAAAACATGCAAAAACTGGTGTTTTCCTAACAGTGTAGTACTGGACAGTGTGCTTAAGGCACAGCACTGCAGATTCAGTGGACAACCCAGATCGAAAGCCAAACTGAGCATCATGTAGCGAGATGTTTTGACTCAAGTGCTTATTAAGCACACTATCCAGCACCTTTGCGAGAATTGTCGCAAGTGATATTGGTCTATAATTACCCTTATCTGAAGCGTCACCAGTCTTATTCTTAATAATAGGTACAACTATAGTCTTCATGATTTCTGCTGGTAGGTAGTTATGACGCAGACATAAAGTAAACAGCACAGACAAAACTCTAGGCAGGTGAGGCCCAGCATGTTGCAGATGCTCGATACTGAGACCATCGTGCCCCGGTGACTTGCCTCTTGTCATCTGTTTAATAACGGTGGCAATTTCCCCACTTGTTATTTTTACCAGAGAGTCACCAGGAGGCCGTGTCCCAGCATCCAGCATCCGCTCACACCTCTCAGGATTCAAGAGTGGTTCCACTTTAAAATGGCTTCTAAAGAGGTTGGCCACGTCACGGGGTGCACTAATACCATCCACACTAGCTGGCACGTTTACTTTTGGGGTTAATTTATTAGTGGATTTCCAAAAGTGAGAGAAATTTTTTGCTTTATGATGGTCAGCTATTATATCCATCTTTATTTGGTCTTTGTGCTTAAGGCAGTACTTCAGTTTAGCTTTAAATTCTCTTCTGGTATTGCACATTGCCTCATAAACACTACCAGCCCTCGGCTTACCATACAAACACCACTCCCGAAAACATATTCTAGCCTTTTGCTGTGCCTGTCGAACATGCTTATTCCAGCCCGTGACGTGACGTCCCCTGGAACATGCTGCACCTTTAAAGGTAGATACTGAGGCCTCTGTCAGCACTGTTACAATTGATTGGTAAAGCCCATCTATTGTGGCTCTATGGCTATCATTATTACATAATTTATCAGCGCAAAGTCGAAATGCGTCAGGAAAATCTATGTTTTTTAATTTACTTTGACATAAATCATGATATTTATTTATTTGCGACTGATCTCTCTCTCCCCATATAACACCTTTTACTGTATTATTACAATCATTGACATCTATTGACAACTTCGGTATACTTTGCTGTAAATTACAAACTATTTCTAACGGTAAGTGATCTGACCAAAACACATTGTAATGAATTTTTGCACTCACAATAGTTTGTCTAGCGGCTAATGAGGACACACAATGATCAAGCCACCGCGTAGACCCGTGACAATCACTCACAAAAGTATATGAGTCCGCTGGCAAAAGTTCAGTATCAACCATGCTTAGTTGTTGCTCACTACAATATACTTTAAGCTCATTGAAAAAGGGGGTATCAGGATGCGCGTTAAAGTCACCCAACACATAAATTAAGTCCACGTCTTCATTTTCAATGATAGCACTTATTTCGGCTAAGCACGATACAAACTCGGCTAAATTGTCACGTTCGTCCGTAGGCATGTACACTGATATTATAATCATTGATCTACTACCCATAGAAACCTTAATCCCAGTTAAACGCACACTCTGACACTGAATTACAGACACACACGGAAAAGAGGACTTACGCCATAGAAGCGCCACTCCACCATAGGGCCGACCACGTAGAATCCCCGCCGACAGGTCCACAGCTGTGTTACCTGTATACGCGAACTCCGTGTCAATTGCTCCCAGCAGCGGAATGTCGTGTTGCAGTAGCCAAGTCTCTTGCAGTGCGATGATGTCAGCAGACTTACATGAGTCTCTTAGGCATCCCATAGCTCCAGACAAACCCTTGCAGTTGAAACTCACGAAATTATAGTTCTTGTTTATTGGTGTACTACCCATCACTGGTTGTTTTGGTTTGCCATATTTTTCATTTTGGGTTTTGTGAAGTCCACAAAACGCCCTAAACAGTACTCCCTCTGGCCAAAAGTTTTCATTTAGGAATAAGTCTAGTTTAGATTTTGGCACAAATACTTTGTATGCATTGTATCCCCTATCGTGTTTTAATGCCAGTTTCTGCAGCGAAATATTCATTTGAGACTTATTGTACACATGTGCGATGATGTCGTTGTCAGTCGTAGACTTGTCGACATTGTAAATAAAGAGCGGTATTTTTATGTCAGCCGCCCTGAATTTGCCTTCTGGTTCTGTAGCAGCAACACCTTTTTTTCCAATTATTCTATTTCTTAACCTTTTTCTTTGGGCTATTTTCCATTCTTCCGACGGGCTTTCACTTTTCCATTCTCCAGGTGCCATCACTACTTGTGCTAAAGTATTATTAGTAGCTTTAGATTCTTGTTGACACATACGCTGTCCTGCGTGCGCAGCGATGGTAACTGTTTGGGATATCGGCGATCTTGAACGCGCACTATTAAGAAAAAGACTTTAAGTATTAATAATTTGAAATATAAATATCGTATCTAAACCACTGGACTAGAAAATATTTACTCAAATATTTAGACAAAATAGATTGAATCGGTATATTTATCGATATTATAGGGCTCAATAATCACTTTTCCTTAAAGATTATATCGATACCACGCCATAGACATAACCTGAAGTTATCGATATTTAAAAAGAAGTAGGATAAGAAACACTTACTTCATTTTATTTTTAAAAACTTTCGCTGTTTACTCGTCTATATAAATACTAGCTGTCCCGGCAAACGTTGTTCTGCCATATAAAATTATTTCTAGGGAATTTGTAGGGTAGAAAAAACTGTTTAGGGTAGACCACCCTTAACATTTAGGCCGATGAAAAATAAATGTTGTACGATTCACCACCCTGGCCGATACGCACACAAAATTTCACGAAAATCGGTCGAGCCATTTCGGAGGAGTTCAATTACAAACACCGTGACACGAGAATTTTATGTATTAGATGTTTGAATTTTCTTTTAATTTCTTATTCTTTTTTGACAAATTCCAGTAATCTGAACCATTTTTTTGAATAAATGTTTTTTTTTTTTTCAAAATGAATATGAATAATTTAGCTACATGCTTTTTTTTTACATATATTCCAACTTTACTCACGATAATGTAATATCTGTAGAAATAAAACAAGGGGACAAGACAAATCAATCAGTGTTCTTTTTTGATTGATTACCTCAGTTTTTGTGTGAACATTGTCAGTAGGAATAAAAAATATTTTTCCTCATTCGTTACAAAGCCGTGGAATGTATTGGGAGGAAAAAAGTGTACATCATTAATTATTTATCCGAAGAATTTAAACGAAGAGAATTTGTATACACATTCACTTTTTACGAGTAAATTCTGTTATATTATGAAACAACATTCATACAAGAGCTCATTGTGAAACAACTTAGCGAAGGTGTATTCGCCACTTTGATCAGGCATGGAGTGAAGTAACTAAAGAGCTCCATGTGTAGTTTATATCATCATCGTAATTATCATCATTTCAGCCTGTTTGAGTCCACTGCTCAACATGGGCCTCCCCCATAGACTGCCACGAAGTACGATCCTGAGCCACCTGCATCCATCGACCTCCCGCACATTTGCACAGGTCGTCACTCCATCTAGTGGGGGGTCGTAGTTTATATACTTATGCCTATTCAAAAGAATTATCTACTCTGCTTATCGGCGGATGAAATTAAAGAATAGATTTAAGGATTATTACTTTTCTATTTTGAATAGTCGAAATAAAACGATGAATTTGAAGTACTTCAACCACCACAATTGGTCAAGGGTCCTATAGAAAATGCAGCAATCATTCTCGGCATCATGCCACTTGATTAGGTTAATTTGATAATGTGTAATTTATTAGTAATTTAATATCATACACAATTTTTGTTCTTAATAACTTTCATTTTCAGTACTACGATGCCGTAGCGCTACGCTGCTACTATAACTCTACGATATAACTAAGACTGCGCAGTCTGTCTGTTTGTTTGTCACCAGGCTCTATCTTATGAACCATGATAGTTAGACAGTTGAAATTCTCACAGATGATGTATTTCTGTTACCGCTATAAAAACAACTACTAAAAACAGAAAAAAAAATATTTAAGTGGGGCTCCTGTACAACAGGAGGTTTCGGACACTGTCAATCTGTGTGGCTGTCGGTGACCATGTACCTACATTAATATACGTTTGTAAAACTTTTCTTTAGATGGTGGCAAGCGAGCTTGCGGTTCACCTCATGTTAAGGGTTAAGTGCCAACCATGGACATTTGTAAGACCCGTGGGGTTGCAGATGCGTCGCCACCGTTTAATAAAGTGGGCTCCTTCACCATAAGTATGAGGTCGTAGTACTTCCCATGATGGATCTGCTCATTCGTGCAAGAGAAGAGCTCTACCGCTGTGTGAATCGTATAAATCCGCATAATAATCATTGATAAGTGTAACAATACAACAAACAAAGCAACGATTTAGAAAATCAACCAAAAATAGCACAAGCACAATAATGCAGAAACTTTTCTGGATTTTGACTAGAGCTAAAGCAACTAAAAATAAACAAAAGTAAGCGAACAAAGACATCGAACTTCCGTTACTTAGAATGAACTGCAGCGTATTCTTTTTTAACTTTCTTTTATGTAAAAATACACATCGCATTCGCTACAGATTTCAATGTGTGATTTTTTTTGTTGTACCATTTGTTGTAGCTATTGCATACAGAAATCATAGTATTATTATTAATATTAATTATCAGAGTACTTTTACTATTATTGTTATAGTTTAATTATTATTATCAATTATTACAGTTTTCTAGTTTTAAAAACATTTTCTTTAATCCACAATAAAGAATAGCATATACTTTTATTTTGATTTTCAGTGTTCATTTAAGGGCAGTTTTTGGGTCCATGCATTGTTATTACCATTACTCACAAAGCAAAAGTCAGGGAGAAAGAACTGCTGGTATTTTGATAAAGCCTCCACACTCAAAACTTGCTAAGTAATTGAGCCGTTAACCACGTGATGATGTGTATTAAAGCTTGTATTCCTTACCCCATACACAGCAAGTGACAGGATAATCCCGTGTCATTTAGCGGAGATATCAGTAAATCCGACGCCTTTAACAAATGTATTCCGTATTCGTTACTGTTGACCGTAAGTGCTTTTTTTATGCGAAAAATTGTCAAACGAGCAGACGGTTCACCTGATGTTAAGTGGACACCTGCCACACCCGAGGGTTACAGAAGCGTTGACAAGTTTTTGAAAATTGGGCGCCGCCTACCTCACTCACCAGACGAAACGCGAAAGTATTTGTCATATTCATATTTGTCTTCCACTTTACGCTGGTCTTCTGTGAGTTCGTGGTACTTGCCCGGACGGGCCTGCCCATTCGTGCAACAGCCGAGGCTGCTGCGTGGCCCTACCACCGTAATAAGTGTAAGCGTTTTACTTCTATTATAAATGCTCTTATTAAAGTTTAAAAGCGGATTTCAATCCGCTACATAGTATTTGGAAAATCATATCTTTTTGTTTCCTCGTAGCCTTCGTTTTAACATTGAGAACCAGTTTGGCCATACTATCTATCAAATTTCTTGTTTTCTATATGAACAGATTATTAGGGATAAAGAACTATCCACAATATACTAATGATTTGTGAATTGCCTTAATCAGCCGTTAGAATTAAACAATATTAGATAAATAAATGAAGATGAAATTTTATGTCAATCTAAAATAGAAAAATAGCTAAATTTGATTTGTAATGGAAAGCTACAAAAATATTTTTAATTTAGCAGCCTTACTTAATGCGAAAAGGATATATTGCACTGACTTGATAAAAAGGATACATTTAAATCAAAAACTTAAACAGCAAAAGACATTTTGTTTTGGCAATTTAATAATTTGCGGAAAAATTTTGGCAATCATTCGTTTCATTTACGTCTATTTATATTTTATTTTCTCCATGGTACGTAAAATATTTTAATAAGGTTATTAATTTTTAAGCCATTAGCTGAAGTCTGTTTAAAGTAGAGTTGGTTAAATAATATTAACCATCAGGGATTATCAAACAACGCGTTCCCCGAGACCACTCTAAAATTTCTGATCGACTTTAAGCTGAAAAATATATATACTTCTATTTCAGTATATAAATGCGTAAGTGCGCCTATGAAATGTGCATCCAACTTGCATAGGAACTGTCTCAGGAAAAGGTGACTGGTTGGATAATATCAAGATTGAATGCTTTAAAACACTCGTTTGCATTTGAAATTTTTCAATATTTTATAACCCATTACCATAACAATAAACAATTTCCTCACGGGAAATAGGCCAATTCATATAACATAACGTAATATTATGTACATAATTGTTGTTAGCACGACGAATTTTGACTGTTACAAAATAAGAAATAAGTATTTCGATTGGTAGAAAGTTACTATTAACTTCGTCTTATTTGATGTCTTCACTTCTATTAAAACATTAAAACCATAAAGTGATGGGGCACTTTATGGTTTTAATTCATTCTAATTTAATTTTATTGACCTTAGATCGCAATTAAATTTATTTACATAAAAAGAAGAAGTTTTTCTACGTTTTGTTGATTAATATTAATATCAATATCATGTTCTACTACAACTTGTCCATACTAGTAAATATTCATAAGTCTTCTCCTTTATCATTTTAGAAGATTGAAATTTGGTTCAAGACAGTTCCCAAAATTTCGAATTAAATCAAGATCATGTAATAAGTACTGCATATTATGCTTCAAATCAAAGATTTAGAAAAAACACTTCATTAACATGACAAAAAGCTTTTTCGTTATATGTATAGAGCTAAGTACGTATATAACGTAACTGCATTTTCAAAGGAGGCTTCTACCAAAGACTGCCATAAATATGTTAATGAATACCGTTTTGACATAATTTAAAAACTGATAGCCCAGTCTATATGATTATTTACTTCCTTAAACTAATGATTTTGTACCTTGAGTATATTTTTTACATAAACTCCCGTTTATGTATTTCAATAATAAAATTAGTAAAATTTTAGTTTTATCATAAAAAATCGCAGTGTAGGACGACCCCCCACTAGATGGAGTGACGACCTGTGCAAATGTGCGGGAAGTCGATGGATGCAGGTGGCTCAGGATCGTACGTCATGGCAGTCTGTGGGGGAGGCCTATGTTCAGCAGTGGACTCAAACAGGCTGAAATGATGATGATGATGATCATAAAATATTACAATAAGAAATATTTTTATTAAATGAAACTAGTTTACGGATTTTATCACGTTTTTATTTTGATTTTGAAATTCCCGACGTTTCGAACCCTTTCCAACGTTCATGGTCACGGGACATTCCCGGGGGGACGGTGCGCCCCTTGAGACAATGCCCGGGTTATGGG